ACACAGTGACTCCACATTTACTGCACATGTTGGTGATCAACAACTGTAACAGACAAGCTTTGATGCAAGTGCTTTGATAATAAAAAATGATAATGTGTGAATGTGATTCATGAAATGACAACGGTTCTGGAAAAGGTTAATGATGTGTTAAAGCTTAAAAGCTACAGAGGAACAGCTGCTACTTTGTAAACAAAAAGGAAACCCTCTGTTGTAAAACGGTTTACATTTTCTTCAGAGCTCTAGCTGTTTCTTCAATGGCCTCTCGGGGCTCGTTTGGCGGCGGGATCTTCAGATCAGTCGGCTTGACGCCCCAAATCTCAGTCGCATACTCTGTGATGGTCCTGTCACTGGAGAACTTTCCTGTTGCCGCAATGTTCTTGATCACCATCTTTGTCCACTGCTTTGGATTCTGTTAGAGAAAAATAGCACACTGTATTATAAGCTTTATATTCACCGTTTTATTCCAGATTCTGCAGGTGTTATGCCCATTTGTGGTCACTTTTATACTTGTTACTAGCTCTTTATTTTTAATTTGGTCCTGCCTTTTGTAAAGGTCTTTAATAGACATTAAAAGTAAATATTATTTAAAAATGAAATGAAAGGGAAAAGGAAAAATAAAAGGGAATGAAAAGGAATAAAGACATTTTAGCCACTCCAGGATTCAGTTCATTCTACAAACCCAGCCAACTGCCACCGGAGAAGACTCACACAAACCATTAAAAGTGTTTGCAAATGCTGTACGATTTTATTCTGGTCTGGCTGAGACAGATGTTACCTGATAGAGCTTGCTGACCCTTTCCTGGCATTTGATGTAGTCTTCAAAGTCTGCAAACACCTTGAACCTGACAAGAGACCAGGGAGACTAAATAAGTTGAACTGAACAAAGTGCAAAGAAGTCAACAAAATGTAAAGACCTGTTTGATTATAGTGTGGCAAAATCAAAAGTATGACAAAAAATAGAATGTAGAAAAGTATTACCAGTAAATATTTTCAAATGTTTGTTAAAAGAGAAGGTAAATATGAATTTAAATAGAATGTTTGTTTAAAATAGTAAGGGCAATGTTTCATGTAGTGCATATTCATATGAATTGTGTACAGTATATTTAGGCTAATACAGGAATTGTTAGAATAAGGGTAGGGTAGGCGTAATAAGCTACAGATTCAGATCTTACATTATATTTGGTTTAAAGTTTGTTTTTAATTTAGTAGTTGATTTGCTCACATTTTGGAATTGTTTCTTTTGTGAAATAAGTGAGAACAATCAAAGAACAAAAACTACCACTAACAAAGGATGTGTTAGGAAGTGAAGTTAACTAAGTAAAAATTAAAGTGTTTGACTTTACGTTGCTCACCGGTCATGTTTGAAGAGCATGTTAGTGAGGTCTTTGAAAAGGTCTGGATTTTTGGGGCTGAAAAATCCACTTGTGATCTGGTCCATTACTTGTTTCAGCTCGGGAATTGTCTTGTAGTACAGCATGGCATCATAACTAACAAAAACAAATGAAAGGTAGTTTAAACAACATAAAAACATAATCCAAAATAAATGACAGAAATTGATAAAAGAGGCACCTTTACCCCTTTTTTTCCAGTTCAGCTACATCCTCCACCCTCATGCCAAAGATGAAGAGGTTCTCCTCTCCAGCCTCCTGGGCCATCTCCACGTTTGCTCCATCCATGGTGCCGATGGTCAGTGCTCCATTCAGCATGAACTTCATGTTGCCTGTTCCTGAAGCCTCAGTGCCAGCAGTGGAGATCTGCTCTGACAGATCTGTGGCAGGTATCACTGAGAAACACAGACTGTGTCACTACAATTAAAGCAGGACTTTGGTGAACTATCCTTTTAATTTGAAGTAGTTTAGCCTCGTTTCAGAAAGGTAAGTATTTTGGAGTAAATCCCTCCAAATAACACTTTGGGATATAAAACAGACTTGTAAATAGAGATGCAGTTGTGTGTTTTTATGTTGAAAAGGTCAGCAGTATGTGCAGGTGTTAAAGAGAGTTGTCTCTATGGAACCTTTCTCTGCTAAGGACACCCTGTAGTTCTCCAGGAAGATGACCTTCAGCTTGTTTCCCACAACAGGGTCGTTATTCACTACATCAGCCACTGAGGTGATCAGTTTGACTATCAACTTGGCCATGTGATATCCTGGAGCAGCCTGCAGAGGGCGACAGTGGATGAGTTATTAAAAAAAAAACATCACACCACTCTGGGCCTATTTATTGGTCTTCCTCTGTGTTGTGTTATTTGATTTGGCTGAGCTCATACCTTTCCGCCGATGATCACTGTTCGTGGTACAAAAGGTCCACCGGGGTTTTTTCTGATGCCTGTGAAACAAAAAGGACAAATTCAGGAGCCATGCAAACTACACCTGCACTCACACTCTGCATCGAATACCAATATTGCATGTTTCATAGAACAGAATTGCTGATGAAACTGCTTTCATGTTTATCCAAACCAGTTAATCACATGGAAAATTCCCACTTTTGATTTTCAGAGTAGATGCAGCTCATTCCTAGGGCTTGTTTTAACATGCTTGGAACACCAGCTGGGCGGGGGACCTTCCAAATCAAAACATGTCAGACTTCGTCGTGCAGCTTGTCACTCAGAGAATCACACCCATAGTGACTTCAGCAACTTTCTAATCAAACATAAATGAATTACATACGGTTGTACATGATGATGATGTGCAGGCAGTTGAGGAGCTGCCTCTTGTACTCGTGGATTCTCTTCACATGGACGTCAAACATGGAGGATGGGTCTATTTTCACCCTGTACTCTTTCTCCAGGTAGTGGGCAAATTTCACCTTGTTGTCCTGTGAGAAAATCAGATGTACATGAGTTGGAAACAAAGGAGTCATTCGCTGAGGTAAAGCTCACTGGTGTGCAGACGTTTAAAGCTGCAAGTGCACAAATCAGTCAGACTGTAATGCGTTGGCCTGCAGTGACTTGTAGAAATAAGAAACAACAGAGATGGTATTTTACTACACACAGAAATAGGCACTGGCAGGACCCTGGTGAACGTTCCTGTCAAAATGCATGAAGTCATGATGCAATGGGAGATTTAGAACAAACCTTCCACTAGGCACATAGGGCAAAATCCTCTAAGTTTAAGTCCACTGAGAAAACACTATTTTTGTTAGGCTTTCTTGAAGCCAATCACAAATGGTCAATTATAGGTACTACATTAAAATTCTAGGCAAAACTACATAAGTATTACCAGCCACAGTAAATGTGGCTGGTAATACTTGTGTAACAACTTAGTTGTTGTTGTTGTCTGTCTACATGTCAGCCATGTGAAATGTCTCCTTGGTGGAACCGCTAACAACCCATCTGGTGTGTGACCACTGACATATACGTGGACATGGCGAACCGAACCTAAAATATCTTGAATACAGCGGCAGCTATTTTGCATTTTTACAACCAAATTCTGCACAGTAGTGACCAGAAGTGGAGCGAGAGCATAGGCCCACCAATCAAAGCTATCAAGTTAACTGAACTACATCCTTCTTACATCACATCAAATAACTTATTGAAATCAAACTTACCAGAAAACAACTACTTGTATACACAGTGTGTTAATATCTACCACAAACCATAGAAATCACCTCTGAAAAATGTATTTGTACTGTGAACCTGTGCACTTTGTGTTTTTAAGTGTGGCTTATGTCCCATCCACTAACATGGAGGAGGTGGAATCTATGACCTACAATAAGCCGGCCAGCAGGGGGCGATCAAGTTTTATGGCTTCACTTCTGGGAGGTCATGAGCCAAAACGTTTGTGAGCCACTGCTTTCATCTTAAACAACACACACAAATCAGCTTATAAAAACATGTTTCCCTCAGAAATGTAGTGGAATGAAATTATAAAGTAGTTTTAAATGAATGTACTCAAAGTAGAAATACTCAATTATAGTCAAGTACAGTGATTCAGTAAGTGTACTTAAGTTACTTTACCTGTTTCACTTTAGAAACATCACGAATGAAGGCAGCATCGTCAACAAAGTCATTCAGCTTCTGAAGCTGGCTGAGGTCCTTCACATAATCATCTCCGATGACCTAAGACAAATGTTAAAGGGCATTGCAAAAAATGTCCAGGTAGAAATCTTTGCAAACATTTCATTATAGAACAGCTGGGGAATGTACTGGTGAGGAGTCAGAGCTCCTAACCAGAATGATGTCTTTGGAGACTTAGCCAACTGGTTATTGCTGTAGCAGCTCAACAGACCTCAGCTATGAGCTCAGCCAGTCCAGGGTTGCAGAGCAGCAACCACCGTCTGGGAGTGATGCCGTTGGTTTTGTTCTGGAACTTCTTTGGTTCTAGTTCACTGAAATCCCGAAACCTGGTGATGAAAGACACAGGACTCACATTTACGTAGCTTATAGAGCCGCTGTAACCTGGTGCAGTCTCTCAGAGCCACTAGCAGGACCTGTCTGAATGCATTTTTCCAAACTTTCCACTCAGACATTTCTTCCATTTAGTTCCAAAAATTAACTACCTGACACTCAGAAATGCCCTCATTTGAGTCATAGTAGTGTGTATTGCTCCTGTTCAAATAAGGAAAAAAAAAAAAGTACTGTGTGTTTTGTAGTAAATATGTGTAGACATGAAGAAACTGCTGACTCAGACCATACTCAGTCACTCCTCAGGTTCTTACTTGCTTTCTGAACATCAGCCCTGCCTCTCACACTCCCGTCACACACTTACTGTTGAGAGTTCATGACAGAGGGGATTCAACTCTGTGCCAATACCTGAGACCATACTCATGTGGTGTTTAGCACCTACTGTTTTAGCGGTCTGTCTATTTTAATGAGCTTTTAAACAGTTAGGTTTATTTAGTTTCATTTACTTTTCTGCACGCCCATCATTTTATGCATAGCTGTATGTATTAAGGCTGTGATTCATCTGCAGAGGGCTTACACTTCATTCTTGACGATGTTGGAATGTATCTCAGCAACTCCGTTGACAGCGTGAGATCCCACAATGCACAGGTGAGCCATGTTCACCCTCTTGCATCCCTCTTCTTCTATCAGAGACATTTTCCTCAGTTTATCGATGTTGTTTGGATACAGAGCTGCAACCCTCTGAAGAAACACAACAGACAGCTGTAGGGTATCTGATCCATAAATCACTCATCTGGTCAATATAGAACATTATTTATTTTTCTTATTACTGAAAAATTAATACTTTTCTTTATTGTCAGTTTGTAATTAAATGTAGCTTTAGAGTTTAATAAAAGTTTGGTTGAAAAGAAGAAATAGAGAGGGACAGGTGGGTTTTCCAACAAAGTTCTCTTGGGACTTCAACTACCAATATGACAGATTGTCTATAAGCCACGGTACGTACATCGAGGTGGACCTGGTTGATCTGGTAGATGATCTGCAGGTGTCTGGGCAGGAGTTTCTCCATCAGCTCTACAGGCCAGCGCTCCAGAGCCTCAGGCAGGACTGTGTGGTTGGTGTAGGCAAAGGTGCGTCTGGTGAGGTCCCAGGCCTGCGGAGGAGGGAGGAGTTTAATTTTTGCTGCATTCGACATCAAATTTGGGATTTTTTTCCCATATAAACAAACAACCTTTTGCTGAGTGTGTAAATCTTTCCTACTTTCTTGATATCATTCCTGCCTGCATGGATTGAGTTTTTTAACTTGCTTGACAAGTTTCCCTACTGCACATAAACATTAATGCAACACACACATATCAGTTTCATTCGTCATGCTTTGTGGTGTTAACCTCCTTCATGTTATTTGCTTGTAGTTGTTTATGAGTTCCTTATTTAAACTAAAGTTATGGTAAGTCACACTCAATAGGCAAAAACCTGCCAATCTTGATTTGCACCCACCGTGTCCCAGTCAAGTTTCTCAATGTCCAAAAAGATTCTCATCAGCTCGGGGATGGCCATGGACGGATGAGTGTCATTTAGCTGAATGGCAACCTGGAAAACATGACAGCCTGTGGTGACACTGCTGCTTACTGACTTTTTCCTCTTATAACTGTAGCTGAATAACAGGAGAGTCTGTTGAATGAGGTGTTTGTTCCATGACATTACTACTTTGGCCACAGTGAGACAGTAAAGTTTACTTTTAACCAGCTCTCAGTATTATTAGAAATAGAGCAGGAAAAAACAGGGCTGCAAGTGTCTATTATCTGAAATATCTTCTAACTAAAGACACAAACTGCAAAACATTTGCTTCCCCTTTACATGAAAGCCACAATAATATATCTGCAGGGTTTCTCACTTGGTGTTGTAAAACCTCAAGTATGCTGTTGCTGTGAGGCATCTATCTTCAAGCCTATAACATATTTGACAAAACAGTGTAAATACCAAAGAAGATGTTTGGATTGGATCTGTGTTCTGTTTAACTTATCTCTAGGTTGAAAACATGACTTCACTGTGCAGTTACAGGCCCCTTAATTCAGGAAAACAACCTGCATTTAGGGACTGTGCCACAGGTTTGCATACAAAGAGCTGTAGATATCGGGTTGCATTTGGCACCATAATGCACCATAATTTTCACTGATCACAGTCAGGAAATGAGATGAAGTTTCCACTGCAGCAGGAACTGCCCCTTTGCCTTTTGCATTCATTAGTTAATGTGGAATTTTGATCCTGACCTTGTCTGGGAAGCTCTTGAAGGAGGTGCGGCTCGGTGTGCCCTTCTTAGTGGTCTTGAAGCGGCGGATAATATCTTGGAGTGTGGCTGGCACCACAAAGAATTCCAACGAAGTTCTTTTCCTTCGAAGAACTACAGTATATGGGAGAGACCACAGAGGCAGTTATGGCCTTGATTTTAGTGCAATAGACATTTTTTGGACAAAACAGTTCCTCAGTGTCCAAAGCCAGAGACAAAAAAAAAGATACATTTCTTGTTAAAGAAAAGTTGAGGCATCACTGCCCTCAACGCTGAGTCACCCATGAGTATCACCCTAAAATGTAGATATCGAACTTACATTGTCATTGGGGTACAGCACACGCGAGATGTTCTCTGCCAGATTTCTGTCCAGAACAGCCTGGATGTAGTCTCCAACATTAACTATGAACAATTTAAGGCATTTTAGTTACAATGCTACATATTAGAGCACTTGATATTTAAAACAGGGGTTTTCAACCAGTAATCAAATACATGCAAATATATAATATTTAGAAAGGTCAGTGTCTTAATGTTCACCTGGTCTATCCACCCCACAGCAGTGGGAGTTACTTTTTAGTCAGAATTGAGTTCCCTTGGTCACAACTAACCCCTGATGCAACGTAAAAACTAAACTCCGCAGGAGAGTAGAAAGCTGCCAAATTTGAGCAACCTAGAAACCTGGTTGCATCTTACCACTGTTGCAGCAATTTCCTTTTTTTTTGTTGCAAGTGTTTCTGTTGAAATCTAAATGGAAATGTAATCTTTTTTGTAAAAGGGGGGCTTTACATGAAAAGTAAGGTTGGCTTTAGGACTCACAGTCCCTCAAGTTGAAGTCGTTGGGGGCACGAGCAGACCAAAGCCTCATGGTATTCACAGTGTTGTTCATGTAGCCAGGGATGGGTGTGTCGTAAGGCATCGCCAACACCACCTGTAGAGAGACCAGTAAAAACAGAGTCCGCACTCTCAGCATTGTACAACTGTGAGTAGATATGTTGTACTTATAAGCTGCTCCTGTAGACACCAAACAGATAATGAATGACACTACAATAAAACACACTGGCATTTACAGTATATAAAATGTCTTTGTAAGAGAAATGTTATACAATTTGCTTATATCCATATTATAGTGTATTCTTATTGTAGAAGTTTATAAAATCCTACAAAATAAAAGCCAGTAGTGTTATGCCGGCCTTACACCTGATGACTTTTTAAGCAACTGCTGCAGTTTTATCAGGCTCGCATCATCTCAGTCTTTTGAATTAAGGTGGTGCGCACACAAATGCAGCTGTACCCACATGCAGGAGCATGTGGGAAGTAGTCTCCAGAGAAATCTAATTACAGTCCTGCTAATAGAGACCCTGCAAGATCTAAATTGCCTGTAGGAGTGAGTGTGGGCGGTTGTTTGTCTACAGCTGGGATTGGCCCTAGCCCCACTATGACCCTATTCAGGAATAAGTGGCACAGATAATGGATGGATCATAGTCTTCTAGTACAAGGCCAGCTTTACTTATTTTCTTCCTAATCAATAATTCAGCATCATTACCTGAGTATCGACCCACTTCGGGCCATCTTTCGTCTCCTCTACTCGTCCATAGAAGTGAACTGGCAGCATGTACTCAGGACGGGCTTTCTCCCAGGGGTTTCCATGTCTCAGCCAATCATCTGCCTCCTCCACCTACATTAGGTCAGTCCAGGGTAAAGGTAAAACGCTTTAATATGAGACAACGTGTAAGAGAAGCAGGGGCCCAGAAAAAAAGAAGAGTCATTGAGCAACACAAGTAAATTCTCTCTTATCTGACCTCTCAGTACAGTAAACTGGGCTAAGACACAAGGACTCCCCCTCCCAACAGATCAATGTTATACCTAGTCCAACCAGATAAATGCTTATTACATTTTGTGTTACGTTCTGAATGTAAAGTACCAACTTTCACTATATTTACTATCCACTAGCATCAGGAATTTAACATACAGGTTCATCCACCTCAGTGAAAAAACAGTCCTGCTTAAAACCACTTTAGTGCTCAGAGCTACATGTTTGCTCCCAGGGTTTGACCTGCAAATAACCAGCAGAATTCAAAAGGGCAAAAACCTTTCGTTTCAAAGCTCTTATCACCAACCACCACCAGGAGCATACACCACTCCAGTGGATCTAAAGGGGGCAGAACACTGACTAACTTATTGTTAATGATTAGCTTGTGATATACATGTATCCTGACCTAATTAATTTAAGTTTTGCCTCTGCTTAACGTTCTTGACAACATGACCATCTCAGTTTCCAAGTTAATAATAATAAAGGATGTATGGACTCTAGAAAAACAGCATGGTGGGTTTGCAAGGAGATGCCTTGTTATTTTAGTGACATTAGGCTTAAAAGATTCTGGTTTGAAAAGTAAAAGCAGTGAATCAGCAGATGATAGAACTTTGATGAGTTGAAATTTCTAGTTACCTGCCAGCCATCTCTAATCTTCTGGTTAAAGATCCCATATTCATATCGAATGCCATAACCGTACGCTGCAAGACCCAAGGTAGCCATCGAATCCAAGAAACATGCTGTGTGCAAAAAAGATATTTGAAATTACACATAAAATGAAACATACAAACTCTATAGAGCTGAACTGAGAAAGTAAATTTGGTTCATGACACTGGTAAGGAGGTTTCGTGTTCATCTGCTCATTTAAAACAGTCAGCTGCAACATTTCTGTGGCTACAAGTAGCTTCACATGTTCAACAAGCAGACCTGCAGAAGTATGTTAGGATTCATAATGGAAATAGATATTAAAACATCTGCATGCAAAAACGATTGGTTTTTCATACATGTGCTGAGTTTCAAGACAAACATTTGAACAATTTAATGTCAGTTTAAAAGCAACATAAAGCTTTTTTGTTTTTTCCCCTCCATTATTTCTGTAGCTTTGGACTGTTTAGAGGAGCAGGGATATGACATGATCAGATCTCATCTTCAGCCTCTTACCTGCCAGTCTGCCTAGACCTCCATTCCCCAGCCCTGCATCCTCCTCCATGTCCTCCAGCTCCTCAATGTCCAGGCCGAGCTACAGCAAAGAGGAGCAAAAAATCCCAGTGTTTTATGAAAACGTTATCAAAAATATCACAGTCATTATGTGCATTCAACAGGTGTGTTTGTGGTTGTTGTTGCCCCCATTTTCTGTAAACCTGTCTCTGACCTGGTAGATGGCTTCATCACAGGCGTTCTGCAGCCCCAGGTTGATCATCGTGTTCTGGAGCGTCCTGCCCATGTAGAACTCCAGAGACAGATAATACACCCTCTGAACACATAAAAAAGTCAAAAACATCTGTTCAGAGACTTTACTGAGCTAAGATCAAATTCAAACTAATATTTATACATACTTTGATTTGATTACAACATGAAGGTGCAGGAAACACAGCTCAGAGCTGAGCAGCAAATGAAAGAACCTGGAACAAGTAAACGTTTTCCTGCACAAAATATGGGGCCTTTATTCAAAACAAATACAAACCATGCAGCAAAAAAAAGGAGTCTGAAATGTAGATTTATTTTAGCAAATATATTTAAAATGCTTAATGGCTAAGACAGGACTGTATGTTGTAAATGAAGTGCATTTCCTGTATCTAACAAACAATTCAAATGTCATCTATTTATAAAATGTAATAGTTCTGATCATTTTTTACATAAACACTTATCAAACAATACATTTATAGTATCGTACAGTTCTTATCAGCTGTTTCGGGCATTTCCGGTATCTAAAGTATACTGTATTTCCCAATACCTACTTGCAGAGATGTTGTGAACATGATGCATCACACTGTACTCTAAAATAACGTTGGATGTGTTTCTACAGTTGCAGGTTAGTTTCACATTGACACTAAAACCTCTGACTTTTACCTTTGGGTCTGCTTCATAGTAAAACTGCTGCGTTCTGATCCATCTCCCCACCAGGTGATCTCTTACAGTGTGAGCCAGGGCAAAGTAATAATCCCTGGGAGTGGCAATATTTCTGTCTTTCACCAGAGTGAAGTGCAGGTGTCGATTGAAGCTCTTCTTCAGCTCTGTAACGTTCTCCACTCCCACAATTCCCCTGATGCTGATCTGCTTGCGCTTCTCCTGGTCGGTGAGAGGTGTAGCCATGTTGGGAGAGCAGGTTTGTCTGGAGTTTCTGTACAGTATCCTGTCCTGACCAGAAGTGAAGCTGACAGGAAACATGGTGGCAGTTTCATGCAACAGTCTCCTCCTTTTGCTGCATTTCATTGGTGAGTGCAGGGGGAGGGTGTTTCCTTGTCTGGCCTCTGCTGAGCTGCGTAGTGAAAAAGGGGAAGAGCAACAATGAAGAACTTTGTTTTGTGTAGTTTTGGCTAGCATTTGACATTCATGTGTCACACTGGTCATAAGCTCATTTAAAGTGATGATAGTTACATAAAAACAAAAAGAAACAACAATATTCTGAAAATAAAATTCACTTTTTGTTTACTCTCTAATGGACATTTTACCCTCCTTTAAAAAATCAATATATGATAACCAGATCAAGTGATCTGAAACAAGCACAAATGTAAAATTCAAACTACTCGTCTGCATAAACACCCACACACCTGCATCCCCACTGGTGCAGATAATTGGTTACAAGTCACATAATTAGTTAAAAGAAGATCACTTGTGTGAAGTCAAAGGGTTTCAGCTGATTGTAGTATAAACACATCTGTGTCTGGAGGGCCCTGTTTTTGGTGAGTCGTTAATGTGGCAAAAGTCTTCACCATGAAGACAAAGAACCACTCCAGGCAACTCCACAGAAAGTTTCTCTGGAGTACAGCTGAATCAGTCAGTACGACTATGGCACATTGGTGAGACAGTTGCTTCACCAATGTGTCAAGGAGAGAAACTCACATGACATCTCAGCCACAGACTCTGAAGCCAGCTGAAGGCACTTTTTGACCATCAGACTAAACACTAGGTAAACTGAACACTGAA